CCGCGTCGTGCTCGACTTCTCGTTCAAATTGCGGGCAGATGGAATTTTTGCGGGGAGGCCGAATGGCGCGAGATCCAGCGGGACGACTGTTAAAACGATAATTAAGGTAAAAACGGCATGGTTTACCGGGAGGCTGGAACAGTCGGTGGCTGATTATTATGGTTAGTTGGGCATCGGTGGGCGATGGAGGGGGAACAGCTCCGTAAATAACGCCCCGTTCTTTTCCATGCTCGGTTGAAAAGATGTTTTAAGGGATGGTGAAACAACCGGCTCGGTTCTTCGCTTCGCGGGTCGAAGTGAAAAACGTAAAACGGGGACCGTTTCGAGAAACTGCTTTGTTTAAGAGCCCGTACTTTTCCATGGTCACGCGAACCCTTTAAACAGTGGCTTTCTCTGGAATGGAGTTTGAAATTGGTCTACAGAGTGTTTCGAGATTATCGGCTTGTTTTTGCTCGGAGTTCCAGTTTGTGGAAGAGGAGCGAAATTTTTCTAGAAACTTCGAGAAAGATCTTGGAAGGGATTGAAATACAGGGAGGATGGATTCCTTTTGATTCGATGTTTCGTTATTGTATTAAAAGAATCAGCGAGGCTGATATACGATTTTGTTAAAATTTTATGATAATTTTGAAACACCCGGTACGTGGAAAGATTTGCATACTCGAAATGAGCCTGCGCGACTAATAGGCTCGAGAATAGATCGCTTCGATAAATTTTCATTAATATTTATATCGAGAAATAAATATATCCTATTTATATTATAGTTATATTGTATTTTAATTTTTTTTTTTTTTTGATATTTTCCATTGAGAAGAAGGAGAATTTTTGAAAAGTTAAAAACCTCTTTCTTGGTTTCGTTTAATCTTCTGAATTCTGAATAGTTGAGATTCTATTCAGCTGGCAAAGTTATGAAATTTCTGCTCTTACGTGTAATTCTTCGGTAATTCGTAAGCAGGAAACGGTGAAGGTGCACAAGAATGTGTACGTGTACGGAACTAAGTTATAGTGCACCGAATAATTAATAGGCAAGTAAAGTAACTTTATTGCCCCGTGTGATGTTACAACCTGCCTAACGATTTACTACTTATAACAGGATGAATATAAAATCACACTGTTAGAATGTTAAAACGGTTAGCTTCTAGATGACGTACAACGCGTGTTGCCATTTTCCAGGTATAATAATTTCCCATTAATTTTGCAACCCGAATGAATCTGAAATGAACGTAAATGACTCGTTCGAATGGACTAATTATTTCGTAATAAAAGATCTATTGATCTATTTTTTCCAAACTGTTGTTTAAAATTATCCTCTTTGAAATTAAAATTTTAGATATTTTAGATACATATCCACGAATATTCATGAAACCAATAGACGATCGAATTTTTATTCGAGTATTCGAGATTCCAAAAGATCGCGAAAGTTGCACGAATTGTAGTTGCAGGTGTCGCGATATCCAAGAGCGTCTGAACGATGTTCAGAAGTTAGAATTTCACTTGAGAGGAATGCGTGTACGTGGAAAAGAAGGAGCAAAAGTACGAGCAATAAGCGGAAAGATAAAGAAAGTTGAGAGAAGGAGAGGGGGATGGTTGTAAGTAAGAAAAGGAGATTGAGAAAAAAGAAATAGGAAAAACAAAAGAGAGAAGAAGGAAATGGGGAAAAGGATTTCGAGTTTCGAGAGATAAAGATAGGAGGAAAGGAAGGGAAAGGAGGAAGAGGAACAGGGAGCGCTTTCGTCGACAGCTATCGGTGTCTCTCGAAAGCCTGCAGGCACTTGGGAAATATGCGCCGTGATCGGGCCGTGTATTGTGTATCAGCGTAAGAATCGCGCGGCAGAGATATCGAATCGATTCTCGTGAAACAAATCACGCTCTTCCTCCAACGTTTCCTCCTTGCTCCGAGGAGGAATATTCTCCCGGAGAAAAGAATTGATTTCACTTCTTCGGTTTGGATCGCGATAAACGCGGAATATTTTATCCTTGAAATAAATTTGAAAGGAGAAGGCAAACGATTGGATTGTTGATTGCTCGATGTAACATTGGATCATGATAATAATAGTAATATATACTTTTTTAAATATTTTGGATAATTGTTTAACCCAGTTAAACCACTCTAAGTAAATTGTGGTCGATTAAGAATGAATTTCTTACAATCTTCTTGCATCGCATTAAGATAAGAATTGTTTCTTCGATCGTGAGAACAGTGTGGTCGCAAATTCATTAAAAAAAATCTTAAGTAAACCGGATTAAAAACAAACGTTTTTCCCTTCGAGAAGAAACGAAGAAGATTACAGGCGTAATTAGTTCTCTTCGACGAATTCCTCGATTATCGATAATCACGATAACTGTTATTAATTTCCTGTTGCCTTGCGCGAATCTTAAACTTCGTATAGGAAACGAGAAGTGTAGGCGTCCTGCATCCATAAAGGAGGACGGGTGTGTACGATGGGTTTGATATGAAACGAAACGGCTACAAAGAGACCAGCCTCGACGCGTATCCGACGAGCATTCTCGTGCTCAATTTCCTGCCCGAACCACGTTTTCCCCGGCGAAACCGACATTGCGAAAAATATGTGGAGGCTCAGTTTTTCAAGCTCTAAAAACGGCTCTCGAGGACCTCTGGCTCGATATTGATATCGTAGCCTGCCTTTCTCTCTCTCTCTCTCTCTCTCTCTACATGCGGATACTTTTTCAGCTCTCGTCTCTTTATACACGACGAAGTAAAAAATAAAATTACTTTCCTTTTCAAAATTTACCAGTTCGACAAATCTAATCTTCAAGAATCGTTCCAAACAATGACATAGATCGATTAGTATTCATCTTCTTCGAAAACGATGCCGCCATCGGTCAAAATTTAAAATGGCGGTTTTCCATTGGAGTTCAGGGGCTCGATGATGCTCGTTGAAGTTTCTTTTTTTACGCAGCTCACTTATTATTATTATTATTGTTATCATTATCATCAGAGTGATGGCAAGTTTCGAAAATTTCATTCGTCATGGCCCCGTTATACACCTTAACGATCCTATAAATGGACCAAACAGCGAGACCGCGGAAGCGGAACACTTCTAACGAGTTTCATTGAAATTCACGAGAATCGTGGCTGACCCCTACCCGACACGAACTTTCGAATGAAATTACTTTGGACGCGCGATGAATCGCGAGCAGGCGCGGGCGAGGGGAGAGGGCGCTCCGTTATCGATTTCTCTCGCGGGAGAAGTCGAGAAATCCATCGAGCGGTGGAAATTCATCGATCATCGTCCGCCGTCGACGCGGTGACAATCGGCGCCAATCGAGGCGCCTCTCTCTCTCTCTCTCTCCAGGGGTTGCGCGAGTGCAAGAAAGTGTGCCTAATGAAAAGCAACGTGGCGAACGATGGCGTGGTAACAGGAAGTGAATTCGCCTCGAGTCGGGTAACATTCGAACAAACTCGTATCCGACCGAACGATATTGGATAAGGATACGTGTGTGTTTGGACAGACGATTCGTCATGGAGATTTCTTTCCACGTATTTTTAGATTTCATTGTTTTTCTTTTTTGAAAGGTTTAAGAAGGTTTCTTAACTGGCGAGATTTTACGGTTGGAATTCCTTCGAGATTGTCTCATCCGTGGGATTAAAACAATTTCGATATTTAATTAGGCTGGTATTTTATGTGTATCCTGGTATGGGGAGGGAATAAAGATAGAAATCGTAATTCGAAAGCCGCTCCCAGATCTAAAAGCACCTTGCTCTCCAAGTTTTATGAACGCGTGTGATGATACCGCATTCCGCGTTTAAAACGTACGTATAAATCCATTTCTTGGAAATGATAAATAATCAAATACTTCTTACGCTTTTATCGAAACGCATCATACGCACCACCACGCATAAATTATAAAAGAGTATTGATAAATACGGATATTAAAGCGTATACATATTTGCTTCTGCAACTTTGTTCCGCCACATAATCTCAACTGGGAACTCGTTACGATAACACGCGCAAAAAATGAGTTGCACCCGGCTACTCTTCTCGTAGAAATCTTTAGGTCTCGTTCCCATGTGTACGTAATGCACCATGTAAAATATATATTAACGTATGAATCCTCCTCACCCTGTCTTTGTCAGTTGCACGTACGAGATTTTGATCCAGAATAACGTGCATTCCATTCTCGGTGCGTCGCAACGTTGTACGCTACACTTGTAGAAATATGCCTTAAAGGTACATTTTTCGCAAGCTTAGACCGCATTCTTACACGTAAGATTTCAACGAACCGTTACCCTGTTTTCTAACTGCATGCACGTAAGAATATAATTTTGACACAGAACAAGAGTCTAACTTCGCACGAATATGTGCACAGAGAAATACGCCTTAAGGAGAACGTTGCTTTTTCTTTTTAGAATTCCGTTACTCTAGAATTTACATGATACCAATTCCGAATTATAATAAACAAGAAATGTTTCGACACCATTCGCGTCTCCTCGTATAATACGAAGACGGAAAAATCCTAACCTCAAATTCTTACAAATGAAACTTAATCAAAAATTAACGAATAACATCCAACAAAATCATAATTTGCGCGTTGTATTTCTTTACAACAAAAGTTTACTGCAAACCGTTCGACGTATAACACAAACACAGAAAAGCCCTAACCTCGAATTCACTTTTACGAAGCCAGAAATAGAACGATTAACGAACAATATCACAATTTGTTGCACGCTGTATTTCTTTATTATTACATTGAAAATTGAAACCTCTAAAAATATTGGATTTCGTTTATAGACTAAATAAACATTACTTGGATGAAAGTTTGGCTTACAGCTCATTTTTGAACCGCGTAGTTCTGGCCGAAGGCTCAACGACGCTTTCACAGCTCGACACAGTTCCCCCATGATATAACGCGATAATCGCATCATGCTCAACACACAATGCTGGATTAGTTGCCGATTCTGTACGCGGCGTAAGGGGGTTATTCGAAACGGTTGCACGAGCAAATTGATGCGTGATCGTCGCATTGTTCCCGAGCTTGGTCCTCGGAGACAGATACGTCGCAATTTCGTGCCGTTGCAGTCGGATGCACGATGAACCTTTCCGCAGGAATTGACATTTGCTGCTCCGTTTGAAAGACGATGTTGGGCAACCGATGATATTTCACCCGTCAAAGATCTTCAATTGGACAATATGCGAGGTTAATTTCATAATGATACGTGCACGAATTTATTTGATGATTAGACGTAAAGAAAATGAAAGTTAGATTGCATACAAGATTGCATTAGGTTATGTTGATCTAGTCTGAATTTCAAATTTTATCTTTTCTACAGTATATTTAGGAATAAAATATCTTTTATATCTCAAAAATACATATCTTGGCAAATCGCGTAAAGTGAAGTATTCCTAATTTCAACTATTGTTTCTTTTTCCAATTGTTTTCGTCATCCATTTTCACACTCGTAAAACTAAGCGTCATATCGTATTTCAATCGTCTCCTCCTTTGAGAAAAGAGGATGTTTCAATTGCACGGAAGCTAGGCCAACAAGAAACATCGTTCGGAACGGATGTCTTAGAAACACGTCGTGGAACACAAGTAATTCGCAAAGAGCAATTAACACAGTCAGTCGACTTAACGAGATTAAGCAGAAGGAAACGCCGAGAGAGGCGACGCCTGGTGTCGAGAAACGTCGTCGTTCGATTCGACTTGGCTCGTTGATTGGCCATGGAATGAAATTTACGAGATATAACGCGCGAGAAGAGCGTCTCGAACGTCGATTCTCCGAGAGCGACATCTACTCGTTTCTGAACGACGACAATGCCGACGATGAGTCGACTGATGTCAATGGTCGAGAAGCGCGAGAAAGAGAGAGAGAGAGAGAGAGAGATGAGCATCGTGTAATGTATTAATGGGATGCAACGGCAGAGTTAGCCAAGCAAGTGTCATTAATCTTTCGCCTAGCGCGAGTAAAGTGTCACGAGTTTGTACAGGTTAGGGCGCGCCGGCTGCATCGACCGGAAGTCGAGACAGACCGACAAAAGTAGACCTTATCCACTTCCTTTGGATTGAAACTTTTTGCGGATAATTAATGACGGCGCATGAAACAACGGCGCACATAAAGTTAAGTGCGTATTAAACGTGATGGCGCCACGAGTTCCTCCGGCATGACGTTGCACAACGAGTATGGAGCTGACTAAGGAAATGAGCTTTTTGCGGGAATGGGAAGATTTTAAGTCTTGGGACGAAGAAGAAATACGAGACTCGTGTTTGGATAATGGTTGATATTTTAGGTTATGTACGTGTTGCTTATAGCGATCCGTGACTTGTGTTTAAATATATTTTAACAATTTTGCTAGAAGTATTTATCGGTGATTCAGAGAGTAAAAATTGGAAAATCTGTTGTGAAAATTCAAGTTTCTCGTCGAGCATAAATTATAGTAATAATTTTAATAAAATTCCTCATATTTGAACAACGATCGATACATTCAATATATCATGTGCATAAAAACGGTACTTAAATTTTTATACCTAGATCTCCAAATAAGCTTTCAAGAGATCCCTCTTGAAAACTCTACAACTTGACGCATAAAATTCTCAAGAATAGCTTCCGCAGCTGGACGCCGATCGTTCGAAATTTTCACTCGTAAAATATAAACGCATCGAACGTGAATAGAGAAATCGAAGTTGCTAGAAGTGACGCTATCGAGAGAACGGTATGAAACGACAAATAAGAGTGACGTTCAACGGAGAGATTCTCGATAAAATTAACATCGGCCAGACGACACACACTCGATGTTATTAGGTCGATGCATTTACAATCAGATTCGATACGGTTATCTTTCATTCTTCGAGCTGTGATAGCTCGAATTGATACCGAGGTGAAAGTATGCCGCCATCTGTGGCTTTATTCCTCGAAACAAGTCTGCGGGTTAAATACGAGCACGATCCTGGCGAACTTTCGCCATTTCCTCGATCCTTCGAGATTTAATAAAAGCGGTTAGTTGCCCTGTTCTGTCGCGATCGTTTCACGAACTCGACTTTTTACTGCCTCCCGTAAAGATTTTTATGTCACGATTATGTAATTTTTTCAGATATACGGCAGAACTCGATTCACTTCCCTGTCTCCAGAAAATTTTCCGTTATGGAAAATCGGAATTTAATATCTGCTTTTAATTAAGATTTATTTTCGTCGATTTTGGAAAAGGAAATAGTAATATGAAACTTCCAAGTTTACTATAATAACTTTTATTCGTTTTGTAAGATTTTCAAAAACTGTCTTTTTTTCGATATTTTTATTTATTTATTTATTTATTTATTTTTTTTCTACTTTTGATGAATTAGATTAGATTCGAAAGAATCTCTCAACACAAAAATACGTAATCACAATCATTTTCCACGTCAATCCAAGTCTGGAAACTGAACATTCAAACCCTACAATTCTCGGATTTCGAATTTAAAGGGATCACAAGCGTGAGTAATGATCATGAAAGAAGAAGCAGAAACGATGAAATATTCGCGATCTTCGGTATACTTCTTTGGACAAAAGATATCGTAAAAGTCAATATTAGACGCCAGCACGTGTGTTGTCCCTCAGTGTATCTCTTTATACAACGGTTCAATAAAATCGCTTATTTAATCCAAGATACTCTCCTCCCTGAAAACTGTCAAATTTCGTCGAAGGAAGGAATATCGTACACGCAGGTGCATACCTCTTATCCCGACTTACGAACTCTGATTTATACCAGCTAACTATCGTAAAAAGAAGAGCAAAATTAAGCTTCCAAACTTTGGCTACCTACGTTATAGAGCATCTTGAAAGTTTTAGGATCGGTGCGGGAGTGAATTTCGACCGAGTTTCCGAAATCTCGTTTTGAGACAATAAAGTTGTTGACAGAGGGTAAGAAGTTAAGAGAATATGTGCACTCGATATCCTCTTATAACGCGGCACTTTGGAAAATATCGTTTCGATACGAAATCAAAAATGCAGAAATTAAGCTCCTCTTATAACGAGGCTTCCACGCGGACTTAATAGACTTGAACAAACCTCGTATCGTATAGGTGATTGTGTGGATCAAACTTTTTATATATTAATACACAATTTAAATAATAAATTTTAAACTTCTAAAAAGAATCTTTAAATATCGAAACTCCACAGCTATTTCACTTAACGTTCACGAATGAACGAAACGTGTCACAAGACGCGTAACACGTTTTACATTTAATTGGAATTAAAATTTAAAATAGATGGAATATTACATCGTAAACGTTCTCAAATCCTTGCAAACATTCGATTCAATCGATACGAAATTGATCGAAGAATGGAAATCTCATCGCTGTATTAAATTCTTCAGGAGAAATGGATCGAAAGACGACGACGAGGATTCGAACAGTTTCAGCCGGTTCGATCGTTCCAAACACTTTACAACCGCGTTATATCCCCCGCAATCGCAAAAAAAGTCCTCCTAAGAGGATTATAAAAGGGGGAGGACCGATCTCTCAGGTGGCTCGCTCGAGGCGAGAGATTTAAATCGCGGATCCACCGCGTTTAATTATCCTCGGCCCATCTAAATGTGACAGCACAGCGGAGGGGCGTAATAAAGGTAGCCGGGGACGTGTGTGTTACGCCGATCCGTTCGCCATTTGCCTTTTATTTGCCAAGGAAATCTCGAGAACCGGTCCCTCCATATATCCGCCCGCTCCAATTCCGTAATAATAAGATCTGAAATTCCCGCGGGAGCCCCGACCCAATTTCCGCCCAGCCTCGACGCGGTTTCGTGCCTTCCAATCCGGATCGTTTAATTCCGTTCCTTCGAATTCGTCGGAATTATTATCGAGTTGTTGCTCGACTTATTTCTTATGCTTCCTTCAGATCATTAAACGTTTGCGTGTCGGGAACTTTTTTTTTTTTTTTCGTTTTTTCTCGATCGAGTAAAGAGTATATGAGTGGAATATTCCCATTTCGAGCTAAGGATTACTTTGATATTCGTGCTCTCGAGATCTCTAAACATTTTGTATATTATTGTTATTACTTCTGATATTCGAAAACTTTCTTTTCTTTCTCGATTAATTCTTTAGATGTTAGTAGAGTATTCATTTTTGAACATTATTGCTCGAGTTATTTTAATATTCGTGGTTCTAAGATCTTTTTTTCTCTATTGATTCTTCAGATTCGTATATGAGTAGAGTATTGATTTTAAGCGTCGATAAGAATTATTTTGATATTCGTGTTATCGAGATCTCTAAACATTCGTATATTATTATTTCTATCGAAAACTTTTTTTTCTTTTTCGATTATTCTTTAGATTCACGAGTACATGAGTAGAGTATTTATTTTTGAACGTTATCGCTCGAGTTATTTTAATATTCGTGGTTCCAAGATTTTCAAAATTGTGTATATTATCCATTTCTATTAAAAACTATTTTTTTTCGATTGTTTCTTTAAATTCGTCATATGAATTTATTCGTGTCATGTAATTCATTTATATTAAAAATTTATATTATTTTGAATAATATATATATATATATATGATAAAATATTCATTCAATATTCGTGTTCTTAAGATGTCTGCGTGTCTCGTTCCTTTCCGTTAAAAACTACTTTTTCCCTTCGATTCTTTTAAGTTCACAAGCATCGGTAGACTTGTCATTCTATACTCAACGCTTGGATCACTGAATTATTCTATACCGATGATTGTTGTTGCTTTTCGCGATCATTTTGAATTGTGTCATTGTTGCAACAAATATATCTATCATAATATATAACAGTAACACTCAATCCTTCATCTCCTTATATATACATATATATATTTAATTAAAAATCTCCAAAAAATTCTGAATAATCCTCTCTCTCTCTCTCTCTTCTTTTCTATATACATTTAATTAGAAATACGAGTATCGAATGTGCGAAGAGAATTTTTTTTTTTTTTTTTCGTACAAATTGTAAGTTCCTGTCCAATTAACCCGTAAGTATCTTTATATCTCTTGATTATTGCGCCTCCTCAATTACAAAGAAACTTTATTTTACTACGTAGCACCATTCCCGCCTCATAAACCGTGGATCGAATGTACGGAACAACATCCTCGTTACTTCGTTCCCGATTTCCTTGCCGTTTCTCCACGTGAACAGACAGAGAGGAAGAGAGAGAGAGAGAGAGAGAGAGAGAGAGAGAGAGAGAGAGAGAGAGAGAGAGAGAGAGAGAGAGTAGTAGTAGTACGTAGTACGGTACGGTACGTACGTACGTACGTACGTACG